TTCATACTAAGTTTAATTTGCAAATATGTTTATATTGACAAGATAACAGTGACATTGTTAATATTGCCCACAAATGTCAATACATAATTTAGTTTGGTTGTATGAAATTAACTGCTGGTTGAAATATGGCATCTGTTTTTTTATAGCAAAATAAAATGAGTATAGTTCTCACAATTAAGAAGATGTATGAAAAGATTCATTTACAAATTTACATAGAAGTTAATCTCAGTGGCAAAGATAAAAAATTGCCCTATGTGAAATACTTAATAAATCAAATCATACTTTGATTATTTTTTTAACCAAATATTCACCCAAGAGCTTTGTATATATAGTGCAAGTAATTTTTTTTTCTGTCTGCAAATATTGCATTAACAATTTTTTTAAGAATAACAATAAATTTTCCAGATAAGTCCAACTATTTAACTCATAACTAGGGGTAGATGAATTTATACCTTTCTCAAGGGTATTTGCACATAATTGAATGTAACAAACATGGAATACAAACTTGGCTCTCCAATTTCAAGAAGGTGAGAAATGCATCAATGAAATCAACAAATATTGAAAGATTGGCTGATTTAAAAGAGTTGGAAAGTATTAGAGACCACTAAAATGAATACATTTTTTCCAAAATGAAAGCAAAAAAAACAAAACAAAAGAAAACAACACTACTCCATATATTATAAAATTTATCAAAAATCAGAATTATTCAATTTAAATTGAATTTTCAGCACTTATTTGTTTTGAATGGGCTCGCTTCCAGATCCTTTCACATGAACGCAGGTGTCCTCCAAAGCTCTATCCCAAATCCTATGTTGTTTCTGATCTTTATCAATGATCTCCATGATCAGTTCCCAAGTAGGCATTTATGCTGATGACTACCTTTTACTCCTGTTTCTGTCAGAGTTGACAAAGTTAACCTGGTGACTGCTCTTGAAAAGGACCTCTAATCAGTAGTTAACTGGGGCAGGAAATGGCTTGTAAATTTTAATGCCTCCAAAATGAAACTACTCTGATTTAACTACCATAGAGAAACTTTCCTGCCCACCCCCAGCATGACTGATGCTAGATTCATAGAGAGCAACACACTGCACTGCTCATCCATAGAGCAATTACTCCATGTATTCCTTTTTATTCTATCCATAATTCTATTCAAGACTGAATTTTGCCTAGTTCCCAAACTAAGCTGATTTAAGGGTAATATGTCTATTCTATCCAGTGCAAAATCCTATCCTCATAATTTTCACTTGCTTCAACATTTTTACTCTCACAATTTAACTGAGATAATGCATCCACATGTATTTCCTTTAAAATATATGATGTCAAAGTTGAATGCCATAAGCTTAATCGCTCATCTTAATACCCTGTAAGAAGTGACCTTTGGTATCTCTTCTGGAGGTTTGAATATAAATTCCAAAGGCTTATGATCAGATTTTAATAGAAATTTTCTTTCCAGTAAAAAATTTTTCTTTTTGTTTAGGTACAAATTTTTTTCACAATTAAAACACACATTTATTGCTTTTTAATTTTCTCAAAACTTGCTCTGTTTTACTTTTGACCTCTTCTTTATTGCGCACACCAATGCCAATGTCATTCTGATATACAATTATATTTTTAATCCCCTCTGAAACTTTTCAATGGCTTTTTGGAAAATGTGACTTGACGTTTTTACTCCAAATGGCAGATGAGTAAAAATTCCTTGTTCCACCATTTTGTTCAGCTTAGCAGCCACCAAAAGCAGCATGTGAATAGAAACTTTTCAAGCTTAAAAATACATGGATTGACTGCTTTCTTTAAGCCAAATACTTGCCTTGTATCTCCTCAATAATCCAATATCCACTTCTACAGAATTTGCCAGCTTTGATGTATCCACTCTTAACACATCAATTCCTAAAAGACCATGGCTTTTGATGTTTACCACTACTATGATCAGTATTATCTCAAATTTATTTTTTGTCTCAAACATGCCTTCAAAACATCCTAAAATTTTGATGATTGACACATTGAACTGCTTCAACTGGAGATTGCTTTCTCTTAACTTTGGTCTACCCATTCCCCCCACCCCAAATTCCTCAGTACCAACAGAACATCATTTCAGTATCCACCTACATGAGTAAAGTTACTCTGTTCAACTTCACCATTTCCCTACATTTATCCTGTGCTTTTATCTCAAATACTTATGTACTTTCAACTGGAGGATCTATATTTTCCATTTGCTTTTCATATGTGCATACCATCTGAAAATGATTCCTCTTTTTAAACTTAAAATACCATTTCCCAAAGGCCTGACACTTATTTTTGCTCTTTTCATATTCTTTATTGCAATATCTGCATACAAGTAAGCTTTTAGTAGCTCTGCAAGTCTTCATGCGGCCTTTGCAGGCATTAAATTTTTTAATCAATTCTAAAAAAACTCCACACACACTTCCAGATTCCTCTAGAATTTTACACTTGTATGAGATGTCAAATATTCCTTCAATCAGTCTTAGCAAAATTAGCTCATCTTCGATAGACATTTGTTCCAAACCCATTCTTTCAAATTCACAATATCTCGATGCTTCTTTCATTCACTGTAGATATTGCATAATAGTCTTATCTGGTCTCTGTCTACTTTTGAGAAATTTAGTTATTTCCGCTATGACCAGTATTTTTTGGGGGTTGTACATTTGCTTTTATGATCACAGCAATTTATTCATACACTAAGTCTTCTGACACTATGGGATAGACTATGACAGAGATTTTTTTATGGCCTCACACCCAGCTGAGGCCAAAACATATCAGTAACTTCATTTTCTCCTTCACTAACTTTGGTGTCCTTTAACTTTTTTTTTACTGTTGCTGATGTTGCAAAACACCTAAGTCAGGTTTCCACATATTCAGGATCCTCTATCCTGGTTAAGTAAGCAATTGGCAACGCCCTACTGTTATGATAAGTATTCTCTCTGACAGATGTAGTTTCATCAAGAAAAGGTGACTCTTCCATAATTATAGCGATACTGTCGTTTACATAGTATATAATTTACACATCACTACACTAACAAAATTTGTCTGTTTCTTAATACTTTGATTGGCTTTTGGAAGGCATCTTTCACTCTCCCAATAAATCTTTGAGTTTCAGTATCACACTTTTTGCCCTCAGTTAAAACACTTCCCAGATATTTAAACTGTTGTGCTTGTTTGATTTTAGTGTCTCTGATTTATAATTTTCATGTTGGGCTATTCCTTTGCTAACAACCATGCATTACATCTTCTTGCAGTTGAAATTCAGCCCTTTCTTCCCACTTTTCTTCACTATTTTCTGTAGGAATTCTTGTAGGTTTTTTTTGTCAAGAGCACTAAACTCATAAACATTCGCTATAAAGCTATTCAATGCCATAAATGTCAAGGATCAAATGTTGATTTTTGTTTGATGCTACACTACAGCTTACTTATATAATTCAATGAATGTTTACCAAAATCAAAATGGAAAAAATTTACAGCCATTGCTCAAATAGCAGAGTATTAATAAAAAATAGTAAAAGCTCATATAAATGAAATGTTAAAGTTGAGAATTGACTGCAAAACAAAATATGCAAATCAGACCCATTCATTAAGGTAGAGATCATTTTTATGATTTTGTGACTTATTTGTATATTTTTTAAATAAAAACCTTGGTTCCAAAATGCATCATTGTCTGAAATTAAGATATTCCTAGATATTCTCTAGAATTTTTAAAACTCATCAAACTGACAAAATATGACATCATGGTCATAAAAAAAAACCAACAACAACAAAAAAAGAAAACACATTTTTAAACGAGGACAATGAATTAAAAAATACTGAGCCATTTAAAAACTTCGACATGCACAAAATTCAAAAATAGCCTTTATAGTTAACACTTGTTAGCAACAATAACACCATAATCATAATGAATGGTTATTATTAAATCCCCTAATAACCGAAGGAAAATAACACAGGGGTTACCTTTCCTTAGAACACGTTTAAATCAACACTATCGCAGTGGTGTTGGTTAAAATTTTAACTTAAAAATACTATCCTATCAGAACAACATTCATTATATATATATATATATATATATATATATATATATATATATATATATATATTAATTATTTGTGACAATTCTCTTACGTTTTTGCAAAAGTATTGTCACAAATACTTTTTCTTTCGATTTTCAAGTCAGTTTTTTTACTTAAGTACTCCTGTTACGTTTTTAGTTTAGTCGACGTAAACAACACCTCATTGCCCCTCGTGTTTAGTTACTCCCGGTGTCCATTTTCATTTTTGTCACGCAAAAGCAGTCAATCCATTTTCATAATTTCTCCCCTACGTTTTAAATTTTGTTTCAAAGAAAACACAAGAGAAGCATGAAAACAAAATCTTCCCAAAGTCTTGGTTCATGCTGTGTAGGAAAAAGTTACTGGATCAAACCCAAACACGAATCATCACTGTTTTAAATTTTTTATTTTATAATCTTTAATTTTAAGGTACAATATACACAAGTACGGACTGGCCTTTGTCCTGTCTCGATATGAAATTTTACTTTAATGTTGAATAGCAATTTAATCGACAATCTCATTTAACAGTAACTATATTAAAAACTTGCATTTTGCAAGTAATGTTAGTTCTTTTACTTTGATTTGAAAAATCGGACCTTCAAAAGTGAGTTTGTTAATCAATTCAATCTTCTAAATGGCATATCAATCTCTTTGTTAAATTAGTTAAGCAAACAAAATCATTTTTTTACCGTGTGTACACGTCAACAGAGACGAATAATTTTGAAAGAATACAATAGTTCTGTTAGTATTATTAGTAATGATTCATTCTTAATCTTAACCCTCTAGTCTAGTAGCTTGCAGATGTTATACCAAACGAACAGCACATGTGTTTATGATCAGCAGTATGTAAATATATAACTGCGTGTTAAATACAAAATCGGTTTGTTTATTTTTTTTAAATTTTGATGGACAATAAAAATAAATAAATAAATATAAACTCCTTACTTGGGAGAAAAGCATGACTAGTGAATCCACTAAAAAAGACATGATAATTGCTGCTCAGTTATTCTTCACCAATTCTCAGTTGTGCTGGTTTGTTTATTTAACGGATGCCCATCCGTCCAGCAATCAGCAGTATCTTCTTAGAGCCATCCAAGATAATACGAGACACGAACCGGTCGAGAAATGTACTTACATCGCCATCTTACTTGTTGACATCACCGGTGCTATTATCAGGAATTTAACAAACCGAAGTTGTTATTGGCCAGTCAATTCTGGCATTTTTCAAATTTTACTATTACAACATCTTATTTTTTAATGATTTAAAAAAAAAAAAAACTCCCAATAAATATTATAAGTCTTTAGCAAAATGTAACATAAGGTATTTATTTTAAATTCTGATAGTCATAGATGCTTTATAGACATTTCAATCAGAGGGGATTCCAATAAGGGATTCCCAGAGTTAACCAATAAGAATTTCGCTTACATCGACTTATAGCGGGAATCCCTGGCTGTTCTGTTTTACAGTTTTACACCAGCGGCAGGGTAGATTTCAGTCGTTCTTTTCGGATCCAACTAAGCAAGACAAATCGTGACTTGGACTCACAAGAGTTACGTAACTAAAGTCATCTCATTCGATGCTAACTAAGAATATTCTCGAAGAGGTGTTTGGATCTTCTTTTGTTGTTGCGTATACCCCAGTTTGCTAGTCGGAGCACATGTTCTAACAGGAAGACGCCATTTTGTCGGCTGTAAAGATGACAGTGGAACAGTCTTCTCTGCAGCAGCAGCAACAACAACTCAGTCAGGTAAGGACACAAACTCTGTCCATCCTCACATTCATCTTCGACCCTATCCGATGAAATTATTCCCAATGGTGTCTGGATTTTACCCTTGTTACCGCTGTTTCTGTATCGCAAAATCGGATGTTGCTATATACCCCCATGGTCTTTACTGTCAGCAGTAGCCAAAGTTACAGCTGCTACTGTCGTTTCTATTTCTACTCCCCCTCTTACTTTTCTCCAATTTTTGATTTTAGTATACTGTCAAGTAAAATGTGATTATTAATTATTTTGAAGAAATCAAAATAAATCTGATTTTGACGAAAAGTTATTACTCGATATCATCTATATTTGATTCGCCGACATTTTCTTTTTCCACGTTAAAAAAAGTCGTTGACCTGTGTAATTCTTGCTGAATACAATCTCTGATCTGTCTAAGAGTCTAAATATTTTGTCAGTAGATTCCGAATAAAATGTAAAATAATTTTAGTAGACTATTAATATCTTCTCAACAACATCGAAGTCCCCAGTTTATCATGCTATTTTAAGTAAAATTCTGATTGTCTTGTCACCTGAGCTAACCGCGCCCCTCTCTTGTCTGTAGCTTTGGCCTCAAAATGGGGGTTCAGATTTTTAGATATCACACGCCTAATGTTTGTCTATATTTACAAAATTATTTTAATATAGAATTTGATGGTTAAAATTTTTACTAGACTTTTTTTGTAGTATTTACACATGATTAATTAATTTTCCAATCATTGTTTTGAAATTCCATTCTTCTGAAGAACTGATCCTCCATTATTTGTAATCATGATCTGGTCTTAGGCTCTTCTTAGCCGTTCTTTTCTGCAATGTACCAATCTGATGTAAATAAAATATATATATATTTTTTTTCATTTTAAAGAAATGTTTAAGACGAGTTCATGACTAAACTTAAAGTTCCTCGTTATTCATAGACAATGCTGTTATTGTTTGTTCGTGCTGGCATCACGTTAAGACACGCATTCTTCTGTTGTTGTTGTCCAGGTTGTAAACAACATAAACTTCATTACAGAAAGAAATGATGTCAGAATAATACAAACAGAAATAACTAAAACTCGTTACGTTAAATGGTTAAAATGTTAAGAATTAAAGATGGATTTACTTACATTGATAGAGATCTAATTTCTTATATTGTTTTATTGAAAAATAAAAACAAACCACTGAATTTAAGAGTAATTGTTAATGTTAAATCATTCTTCTAACGTCCAAAATTTTAATGTTAAAAAAATTGATTCAAACAGTACTACTGTTATTTATTACAAATACTTATTAATTTGTAACTTGAAAACGTCTGAAGTTTAAGACAAGTTTGGTCCAGTGGCATCATCATAAATAAATTGAATGTAGAAAGAAAGGGTGTTAACTCCTGAGTGTCATCATATCATGTTTGTATATATTGCTCAATATCTACACTACAAAGTTACAGGTTGAAGGGAACTGAATAACATCTTACACTATTATTGATGGATCTTAAAATTTGTTGGGTAGTGTTTTTTGCGACGAGAGGATTTAATTTTTAAACGCTTATTGACTTTTCAGTTTAAGTTTTAATTTTTTCTTTTTAAAACTGTTTCTCTTCTCGATGATTCATCAACGATTAATTCTAGACAATTTTTATTTTCAGATTTTATATAACTTCGTTATTTAAAAAAAATCTAAAACATTAAAAATTAAATTTTTCTCAGAACATTTTTTTGTATTTGACTAAATTCTGAGTGTTGTGTTTATTATTGCTTCTTACTTTTTGTCACTTTTTTTAAAAAATTTTCCAAGAGCTTCATTGGAGGTAGTAAAATTTGTAACATTTCTTAATTGTTGTTTAGTTACATAATTGTTCGCCAGCTGGTGTAAAAATTTCTGATTTTGTTTACATTTTTTATATTGATTTATTTTTATGGATAACTTTTTTTTTGTTGTCGTATATTTTATTTTTTAAATATACTTTACAAAAAAAAAAAGAGATAGTCCCCCTCCATTGTCTTTTTCAATTAAAAACAAATATTGTTGATTCAGAAAATATGCCCATAGTTTTTTTTAATAGTAGCTGACATTAAGACAAAAATTAGATGAAACAAGCCTTTTTTTTTTTTTATTTCTCCTTAAATCTTTTTGGCATGTGAAGAAGACGATTTTTTCACCTCGCCTCCACTTACACACACATATACTGTGTTTTTAGATTGCATTAGTAAGCATTAATTAAGCTTTAAGTTATTTTCGCAGTTAGTTCCTCTTGACTTGATTCTTGTGCCTTTAATTTAGTATAGTAATAAAAATCTTAAGCTAATTAAACATTTACAAAATTTCATTGTTCACTTTTTTGTTTGTTTTGTTGAATTTTCTTTGATAAGGAGAATGTGGGTGTTAAGGCTAAAAAAACCTTACACAATTTTTTTTTTTCAAAATTTTACTAATGGCTATTTTTAATCAGGTTATTTGGCGAATGTTTAAAAAAAGTTTTATTAAGCTTTTGTTTTAAACTTTAAAACAAAAGCTTAATAAAAACTTTTTGTTTGACCTGCTCTTTTTGTCTTATTTGCAGTAAAATCAGTTTCATGGAAATGATGAATCATTGATTGACTGCTTAAGGAAAAGGGTTAATTTTTTTAAAACCTACAATTACAATACATTCTTTGTGTTGGGAATTAGAAATAGTTATATTTTTTAAATTGAAGTACACAAAGTGATAGTTGACATTGATTTGATGTGTCGTATAATTTCATTACGTCTGCAAAAAAAAAATCCAATATTTTTAAAAAGCCAATTCATTTTTTTTAAACTAACTTGTATGGATTGAAATCTGATCATCGAAGATTATTGCTGTTACTTTATTTTAGTTACATTGTTAATAATGCGCATAAAAAGGTTGAGTTTTGAGTGGAGATGCATAGGAAGAATAGGTAAACTAAACAATTCAGTTCTGTTGTACTCTTCTCATATTCAATAAACGTGTTTTATTCTTACATCATTTGCAAAAAAAAACTGACATTATTTGTCTTGTAAGGATTTCAGTTTTTGCTAATTTTTATTTTCTGTTTTTACTAGATACTGCTAACATTTTTTACTTTTTCGATATTGATTCATATGTATTTTCCCCTTTCTGAAGAGTTGAATTAAATTAATGTACTACTGTTAGTAGAGAGACTCTTCTTGTATAATTTTGTTTGAAATTGTTTTGAAATCTTTTTATTAAACCAGTGATTGCTAATTTCTTAGGTTTTAATTAATTTTACTAAATGCATTTCAGTTTTGTAATTCGGGAATATTTTTGTTTGAATGAACAATAAAATAGTGATAATATTTTTTTCTTTTTAATTTTAAGTTTACAAATTGCAAGGTTTCGTCATCATTGGATATCAGCTTTTTCATATATTTTTTTTATCCTTTTAACCATTGGATAGAATAGTTAAAAAGATAATCTACTTTTAACTTGTTTGTTAAGATTATAAATAAACCTGCTTTAGTGAATTACATTTATTTTATTTAGGTTAAGTAGTTGTTCTCTATGCACCTTATCTATGACAATGCAGCCATTCATAAATGAGTTTCTAGTTTGTTAGCTTCTCACTTTGACATTTGTAAGGAAAGTAGGAGGTAACAGTAAAATCTTAACACGCTACCTGTGTATTGTTTCACTTAATTTAAATTCTATTATAGAAAGGATGTTTGTTAGATATCATTTGTCAACATAAGTAGTGACAACTGGGTAAATTTTCATATGACTGAGGAAATGCACACAAAAATTTTGTTTTCAACTAGAAAAATTTAAGAAGCACAACTAAGAACTATTACTTTCAATTTTAAATTTTGTATATTAGTTTAAATAGCCTGCAATATTTAACTGCTGCATTTTAGACTTTAAAAATATTTTGTTTAACTATATATACCGAAACAGGTAAAGTGATGACTACTCTTGTGCTGTTTCCTTTTCCTTTAAAGAAATGTTAATATTTTTTAACTTGTTTTCTGCATTCTGTATTTTCATGTACTTATTTGTAGTATTGTTATCTACATTAAATTTGATAATTGTTTTATATCATTTTGTAAAGTAACGATGTCAGAATATTTCAATTTATTTCTCACAGCTTTGGTTACATAATCATTTTAGCAGTTTAAATGAAAATGGACATAATGGAAACAGGTGATTTTATCTCGTTTTAGACATGTTTTTTTGTGGTTTAGTAGACTGGTTTTAAAATATACATACCTTTTTGTGAGTTGTTTTAACAACACTTTTTTTTTCATTTATTTCATAAATTTAATAATTTTTATCCTGTTCTTTAAATAGGAAATAACTTGAATATAACTGATCCATATAAAATTTAAATTATTTTGATGGACAATTTCTCAGTGTGAAAGTAACAAGTTGTATGTGTATACGTTAAGTGCTTGGTAATGTTAATCAGGTGGTTACTATCATGAAGTATTTGTATACAGGTAAAAATCTATAATTTGGAATACCTAATCTTTAAGGAAAAGCATTAATCCTCTTCTCTTTGACTCATTATGGGTCAAATAGCAGGGCAGTCTAGGCTCTCTAACTTTGGGTGGTGCCCAGCCTAGGATGAGGACAACTTGGAATTCAAAACCATGGAGAAGGCAAAGAGAAACCATTCCACTATTTTTTTCCTCCAAGAAGTTATGGCAGTTCGCATATAAGAAAGAAAAGGAATCTCTGGAGAGTCATGATTGCCTACATCCTGACATTTTGATTGTTTCACTTAGAAGATTAGTTCAGTACAATGCACCAAATTTTCATTTCCTTACATCAGCTAAAGTTAGTAAATGTCTCTGTACTAACATTTAATTTGTGCTTGTAATTGTTGCAGTATTTTAGTAACAGTCTCTCTTTTGAAAGAATCTATAGAATCTACAGAAGTTAAATAAATGTGCATCAAACTCTACCAGATTATATTTTTTTCTTTTTGTGTTTAGTAAATCTAAATCTGATCCAAGTCAGAGATGACAAGTGACATTGATCCCAAGCA